AACCTTCTCCCCAGCACGATGTCCTAAAGTCACTAAACTAAGGCAGAGAGTTGATCTGTTTGTCAAATTCCAGGCAGAATCCCTGGGTATACCAGATGCCAAAGATCAAAGATTGTGAGGTTTGGGATAGTGTTACAAACAGGATCCCTTGTGCCAAAAAGATGGAATAGGCTCAATTTTCCATGGTTTGTTAAGATATCCCTGAGTTAATGGGGATGATATTTATACCTCGCTTACGTGCCCTGGAAGCAAAACCACATACCCAAACACACACACCCTCATAATTCACATATGGATTTAACGATATCTGAAACTAGATAGAAAAAAGAAGGGGAAATGAATTACAGAAATGCTTCATTCTGTGCTGATGTCTGAGAAAAGAGACTGTATGTGAGACACAAAGAGAAACTTACTCTGTGTTCAAGAACTGTTAAGAATAATTCTTTTTTATTTGAAATATCTTTATGGTTTTTTCTTGTTAAAATTCATTATAAAAATGCAACCAATACCTAAATACATAAAGTTAAAGTCTCTTCATAATCCCACTTCAGAAATCAAAACTATTAATGTGAAGGATGACCTTCAACGTTGGTTCTATGCATATATAAATGAATTTAAAAAATTTTTTTACAAAAATGAGGTCATACTATCAATATTTTCTCTGTGCCTGATTTACTACTGACTTTTCCTATTATGTATGTAAGTTATGCAGGGTATAGCTTAACAGCTGCAATCTGTGTCAGTTTTGGATATACCATAGCTGGTTCAATCAAATAAGGATGTGTATTCATTCCTAAATCTAAAGGGCTGCTGTTCGGTTGTTTACTTTTTTGTTGCTTTTTAAAATCAAAAATGACTTTACAATTGTCATTCTAAATATATATTATATATACAAAAAGACAAACATCTTTAGTCACACATCTAATTACATTTCAAAAGTAGATTCATGGAAAAGGAATTGCTAAATCAAAGAATAAACCCACACTATATATTAATTTTGTAATTTTTTAATATAATATAATATATAATATTAAAACACTGTGTGTAAATGTGTGTGTGTAGGAGGAGGAATTCAACATTTTCCCCACATGGTTAGCTATAACCTAACACCATTTATTCCATAACATAGTCTCTCTATTGATTTGACATTTCATGTTAATTGTATAATAAATCCTGCTTGAAGCTTTCAAGAGAATAGAGAACTTGATGGAAAAGCCAAAATAAAGTGTTGATTTTTGAGAGACTCAGGTTATTAGCTGATATACAGGAATTAAAAGCAGGAATGGATGAGATGTGTCAAGAAAGGTAGTTGTACTTGCCTTGAGAGGCTGGTTCAGGGGTTCTCTATGTGCAAAGAAAGGTGATGCTACTAAGCCAGAGACTAGATGGTTTGGATTTTACACTGAACTTCAAAGATGCTCATGGCTTCTGCACATGCAAACTCCCTGATTCTCTGGTCACAAATGAATCTGGGGAAAAATAAAAACCACTCAGCCTTGGATAGAGAGGAGAGAAGCAAAGGTTAAACTATCAAGAAAGGATGGATAATGGCTATCTTTGTATCTGAGTGATGCTGACTGTGACTCTACTTACCTGTACTTATGTATTCTGTATATAATTTCTATCCCGTCTCAAACTACAATTGAGCATGTGTTTATATTTTAAGAGCCTTTTGATTTTCCTTTTCTGAAAATGATGTTCATAGTGTTTGCTTATTTTTATTGGTTTGCTTTTTCCCATTATTTGTAGAACCTATTTATCAGGAAATTAGTCCTTTGATATATGAGTTGCAAACATTTTTCCCCATTTGCCATTGTCTTTGTGCATGTATGCGTATGTGTGTGTTACTGATTTACACATACAAATCTATATCAGGTTTTTACCCAGAATGAGTTGGCCCTAAACTCAAAAAATACCTTGTTTTTTTAAGCTTTTAAAAAAAATTGTGTTAAATACACATAACATAAAATTTACCATTTTAACCATTTTTTGGCAATATATTAATTCTGTTAAGAGCCCAATAAAAAGGACTTGTTCTTCTCAAGGGTAATAACAGCAGTAATTAAAATACATAAAGTAATTAAAATACATATTTACAATGTTACAATGTTAAACATATTTACAATGTTGATTGTGGTTACTTGGGAAACCAAAATAAGAACTGGATGTCTGTTTATTATATTTTTATATAATAGTTATTATTATAGCCAGGTACTAGGCTAAGTACTGCACATACATCACTCCACTAAATAGTTTAAATAATTCTATGAAAGAGGTGTAAGCATTGTTACTATATAACCAAAGAAACAGAAACTTTCAAAGGTGAAATAACTTGCAAAAACTTTCACAGGCAGTAAGATAGAAAGGGACTCAAACCCAAGCAGTCTGATTCCAGAAGTGGAACCACTACACAAATTTCTCACAAAGAATGGGACCCAGAACACTGTGTGTGACATTCTTTTAGATAGAACATGGGAGAACTTTAAAATTTTTCTAGTAGTTGTGTATTTGTTTGTTATTATTGTGGTATTTTTTAATTAATGTATTTATTTATTTACTTATTATTGCAGTTAAATATGCATAACATACAAGTTACCACTTTAACCATTTTTAAGGGCACAGTTCAGTGGCATTTAAGTACATTCACATTGTTGTGCAACCATCACTCCCTGTGTCCTTGTCTTTTGACTTTGCTAGGGTAGATTTTGCCATGCAAACATTTTTTGTTTTTACATCATTGAATTTAACAATATTATATTTAAAGGATTCTGTTTTGTATCATACCTAGAAAGCCTTTCCTAACTCTGAGATTTTATTTTTAAAGATCCTCTGACATTTCTTCTGGTACATCTATTTCATTTTTCTACATTCTACACTAATCCTTCAGGAATTTATCCCAGTATAAAGTGTGAGATCCCACTTAATTTTGTTTTTAATGCCAACAGAAATTTCATTTCCAACCAAATTCATTTTATATATAAATGGAAAAAAAGGCAAGCCGAAGAAGCTAGGAAAATCCTGAAAAAAAAGAAGAGGAAAGGGACTGATTGGCCATGGAGGATTAGTGCTACCAGAAATTAAAACATATTATAAATTTACAGTAATTACAATATGGTCCTGAGTGCATAAACTGGTAGAACAATAGAATGAAATAAGATGATCAGAACTTATCAGAATTGAATATAAAAGTATAAATTTAATTTAAAAGATATAAATTTAAGTGCCATCTTCAGCATGTTGAGCATTCCTATCCAAGAATATGGCATACCTTCTCACTTGCTCAAGTGTCCCATTAGAGATAACCATCTTAGAATGAGAAGGCGCTCCATCTTCCCACGGCCTTCCTGCCCACTGAAGAATGGCAATGAAAAGTTACCTGTGAAGTTGTTTGGGGTCTAATTTTTTGTTTCCAGAGTCAGTCCTAACACAATGGACTCCCCAGTCTCTGTTTACATAATGTGAAAAGCTGTGATCAAATTCTGATTTAATCAAATGTGTATCTGTACCATATTTCCATAGTCAGGGCCCAAACCCAATACTAGGTGATAGTTTAAATGGTAGGTGGTAAGTGTTGGCAGAATTTTTTTTTAAGATTCCAGAGGCCTTGCTTTCACTTGGAAAGTTAAGACGGCAGCTGGAAATTAACATCTACTTCTCAGTATTATTAGTCACCATTCTCAAAGATGGGGCTTCAAGTTACCATAAGGTGTTGGTCCAGAACAGCAATGTCCAACAGAAATGAGTCACACCTATAAATTAAAACTGTCTAGTAACCCCACTACAAAGAAGTAAAAAGAAACATGAAATTAAATTTGGTAACATTTTTTTAACCCAATATATCAAAAATACAATCACTTCCACATCTAATCAATATAAAAGTTATTAATGAGATATTTAACATTCCTTTTCATGCTAATTCTTGGAAAACCAGCATATATTACACACTTTCAGCACATCTCATTTGGACTGGCCATTATTCAAGTGCTCAAAAGCCACATATAACTTTCAGCTACCATAATGGACAGTACATCTCTAGAAAATGGTAATGGCCAAGGAAATCTATTAAGTCCAAGGTTGGAAATATAGTATCTCAAGGGTCTAGAACAGACTTTGATTGTCACTAGCCCTAATACTTATTTGATATTTTTATCTTGTCTACACTGTCCCTTATCAGGGGGTTATCCAGACTAGTGCTTGACTCACACTTCCAGAGGTTGTGAGTTCACTGCTCCTTCAGCTAGCCAGTCCATTTTGGGGCAATCTTAACCCCCAAAAAAATTCCTTGCTAGCACACAAGCAGGTTGGTCTGTGGCGGTTTGAGAAGTTTAGTTGGAGTGGGTAAGTAAGGGATTAGTTGGGTTATGAACTAAAAATTGGGTGGGAGGTTAGGTGAAGAACTGTTGGAAAGCTAGAGCTGGGTATCTGGCTGGTTAAAATGGTTAGCTACACCGCAACAAAATTAAGACCCCCAAAAAGTAGGTATACATACTAACTTCACTAACCTAGAGATAAATTCGGAGAATTTGAATTAATGCAAACTTTACAATTTTTCACAGTACAGTAAAACATAATTGGGTTCTAATAAAGGTTACAATTTCTATTAGACCTGCATTACAAATAACATTATCCTAAATCTTAAAAAGTTTTTTTATCAAAAGGATTAATTTCCAGACCCAGAAATCAAAGGCACTTTAAAAGTCATGTTCCCTGTCTCCCACATTTTCGTTACTCAAAAACACCCTGGAATTCAGACAGAAAACTTTTTTTTTTAATTCAGTAAAAACGACACCGCCTGCCTGAATTTGATGGGTTTCTGACTGCGTGGCGCTTGAAATAATACATTTGTGCTATATTTGCATTTCTTCTCTCCTTTTTTTCTTAACCCTTGGTAGTGAGGTGTTCTTTTCTAGGCTTCCTTCACCCTCCCGCCCTCCGCATTCTACCTTTCCAAGGCATGGGAAGGTGCATCCTCGCTGGGGTTCCTGCCAGCGCCTCCTTAGTACCTCTGGCCAGCAGCCGGTGAAACGACGCGCCCTGGACATCCATTAACGTTTATACTACATCTCTGCCGCACCCCCCAAAGCTTCTCCTGTTACCGCCGCCCCACGCTCCCCCACTCGCCTGCACACTGGCAAGCACACTGGGGGGAAATTTTTGGAACAGAAGCTCCGCCCATCCTCCGCTCTCCCGCCTGCACAAAACCGGGCTCAAATACCCGACCTCGGGCCGCCGAAGTAAGTTCCGTAGCACGATCTGGGTACTGTATTTTTTACAAGAAAACAAGCATCCAAGAAAAAAATTCAAACTGCACTAGCGGGCCAATGGGGAAGAAGCGGGAGGCGGGCGGAGGAAGTGCGCGCGGGCGGGGCGGGCGGGGTGGGCGCGGGGGCTGGTACCGCTGGGGATTCGCAAAAACGCGGCGGGCGCTAGCTTTGGGGCTCTTTTTTTTTTTTTTTCCTCCAAAACCCGCTCCAGCGCGAGACTCCGCCTGCAGCTGCCGCCTTTCGGATCCACCTTAAATCTTCAGTGGACTCAGCGCAGGGGTCAGTGGGCGCAGCCAATGCCAATCAAGTTTACAACCACCAGCACGGGAGGGGAAAAAAAAAGAGGAAAAAAATAATCTGCAAGTTCTCCAGTCCACACGCACAGTCACACGGACGCACGCACTCACAGACACGAGCACACAAAAGGAAGGAGGGGGTGGGGGGCCGGGCGCGCCAGAGAAAGGGAAGATGTTTGCAAAATGCTGCTCTGAGCTCGGCGCCCGTGGCCCGAGCGCTCGGGGAAGGCGCGCGGGAGGCGCGGCCCGGCGTGGGCGCCATGATGGTCGCCGCGGATCGGGGCCTTTTCTGGAGGGGGAGCTGCAATGATGCAATCCCCCGGCCCGCGTCCCGGCTGCACGCCCTGCTCCTGCCTTTTCTTAACGTTCCTTTAGAGGCACATCGACGTTTCGCGCCCAGCACGCGTCGATATTTTTCTGTATTTTTTTACTTTCCGATTCCTGCGCACTCTGCGTGTGTCCCCACGCGAGACAGGCCTGGGGCACGGGTGGCCGCGCGGGACTGGAGTTTACATTTAAACGCTCCACTTTCGGTTCCGCTGGGTCTGACGGAGGCTGACCCCACCCCGCCCCACCCTCAAGCGAGCCGAGGTCCCGAAGGTCCCCCATCCCAGGCGGGGGCTTCTAGCGTGACCGTGGGCCCTGTTTCCCTGCCCCCTCCATCCCCACCCACAGCTTCGCTTGCAGGATTTTTACCTTGATTTTGGCGCAGAGGGAGGGGACCGGGGCGCAGGGTGTGGCTCAGGTGAAGGAGATGGCAAATCAGAAAAAGAAATTCATACTCCGCAAAATTGATCAGAGATCCTAGACGAGATTTTAGGACATCTTTTGCAAGCCGAAAAAGCTTGTGAAGAGCAAGTGTCTACGGTAACGATGATGAAGGTGACATGGCGAAGGCAGCGTTCCCGGCCGCCAGGAAAGGTCGCTCGGCGCGGCCGGGGCAGTGGGCGCACCTTGGCCTGAAAGGCCGCCCACCCCGCTCCCCATGTCGATTTCCTTGGTATCCTCTGTCCCCCAGTCATACCCCTGGACCCACATTTCCTTAGTTCTTTCCTGCGCCGGTGCCCCGCACAGGATCGAAGTGGATGCGCTGGGGAAACCCTGCAAAGCGGGTGTAGGGGAGGAAGGGACCCCCGCAAGCGGCTGTGGCGCTCGGCCCTTCAGCGCGCGGCTGCGGCCCTCCAGGGCGGCCGGCGAGCCGGGAAGCCTTTCGAAATGCGCGGGGCTGCGGATCATTGGAGCCCGGGGTGGGGGTGGGAGCGGGCTGCCCTGGAGGGTCCACAAATTCGGAAAGGTTCTCCCCTTCGCTCAGATGCCCCAAGCGCCCTGGGACGGGCAGGGTTCTGCTTTGAGGGTCTGAATGTGGAGAAGAATGGGGGCTTTCGCTTCTTTCGGAGTCCAGACGAGAGGTGATGAAGGAGGTAAATTTCTGAGCAACCGCCCAACCCCGCTGCGCGGGCCGAGGCACAGCTGCCCTCCATGGCCTGCGGGCGCCCGGGCGCGGGAACTGCGCCCAGCGACCCGGACGGTGCGGGAGCTGCAAGTTGCAGCCAAAGAACGAGACTCACTGGCCCACTTGTCCCGAGGCGCCAGCCAGCCAGGCCCGCAAATGCCGCGGCGGGCGGGCGCGGGACTGCGGGGCAGTTTGAGGAGACGACGGCGCAGTGGCCCGGGTAGCGGGGCAGGGGTGGCTGGCGCCAGCGGCCGCATCCCTCTGAGGGACGCCCACGGCGGGCCCCGCAGTCCGGAGCCCGCGTCAGGACGTTCCAAACCCCTGGGACGCATTTGAAGACTTGACATAGACGTGTAAAGGATCGACCCAGTGACGGGGGGCGCTGCGTTCCTGTGAACTTGCCTAGGGCGGCGAGCAACCAGTTCTTGCTGGCCCTGCACGCCTAAACTGCAATCTCTGAAAATTCACATTACAGATGTCTCTTTAGTAAAGGAAAATGGGGGTAAAGGCAGCAATTAATGGAAGATTCCCCCCGCCCCCGCACCTCGTTAAAGACACATTTTAAAGTACCCTTTTTGGCTCAGACAAACTCGTTTTATTTCACTATTTCCTGACAACCCGTTTTGAATTGTTTTTCTTGCTTTCTCAGCGCCTTCCTGAAAAACAGCCTGTACGCGTGTTTTGAATAGAGCCACAAAAACCCCTTTAGGCTTTAATTAAAATAATACCTAATGGGGAGATGTAGCCCAGCTACAGAGGATCTACTTTTCCCTTCCCGGCAGCCGAAGAGAGTCAACCCTTCTTAAAAAAAAAAAAAGTAACTTTGGGTCAAATTAAGCTCAAACTATGGTGTTTAGAGCCCCTTTTGGGGTGCAATAATGTGATTACAAGTATTTGAGGGAAACTGTTTAACCTAAATTTAGATTTTTGCAATTTAACCATTTACAGATTCCTGGAAAAAAACTTACTTTTACACCTCAACCACATTTCTTAAGAGAATGTGGTATTACAGGAATTATTTTAGTAAATCTGTCTTTAAATGCCTTGCTGAAATTTTTTGTTGAAGTAAAAAAATCTCTCTCCCTGTTATGTGGACATGGGGACCCAAAACCCACAGATTTGGTATTTAGATTAACTAGTTTGGGGTTGTGTAGATAATAACCAAGAGATTTATAAATTGAGGAATTAGTGTAACCAGTTTATTTGAAGAATGCCTATTTTATCTAAATTAGCGTGGAATGCATCCAAATTTCTGAAAGACATATATCTGAGTATTTTGGACAAGAGGTGTAGATTAGGTGGTGTGAACAATTGCTCGAATTCTTCACAACACTATGCATGTGTAAATACAGAATTTAGAGAAGTCACCATGTTACTTTCATTTTCAGTCCTACAAAAGTGTGTTCAGTCTACTTATGTAACAATTTTTAGTTCTGACATATTTATGTCCTAGAAGACATACATATTGGAACTAATGCAAACTTTTAGCAATCTTATTTATGTCAAAATGTGACTCTTCCACTCCACACTTCTCAAGCTTTGTCCACCCAAAGAGAACAAAATAGTGACTGCTACATTCGGACCCACATAAACATCTGAGCTGTGAACCTGATTTATCTAGGTATTTGCCACTTCATATTATATTTGTGTAAATACAACTAGAATGCCAGGTCAAATACCTCACACTGAGTAAAGCACATTACAGTTCAACTCAATGAATAGCTATGGAGTTTTCTTTATTGATTGCTTGATGTGTAACAATAATTGGCATCTTTTTCACACATTACAAAAAATTATACTTGGCTCAGTATGCAACCTTTTAAGCATAGCCATATTATTTAACAGAAGAAGGGAAAAAACCTATTCTACCCAATACAGCATTTACAAATGCACAAAACATGCCACTTTGGCTTATATATTGCCTAGATTAAAAAAAAAATCTCTTTTTAACATAAATAAGTTAGTATAATTTTTCAGTGTCTTTACAGAGTTATGTACACAGGTACAATTCAAATGGTTTTGTTTCATACACATACACAGGCAATTTAAAAATACTGTTTAAAGATGTAGTATCCATTTCACTTTTCCACGTGTGCTTTTCTCTATATACACTTTCATTTAAAAACACCACTTTCCTCTGGGCAAATTAAACAGAATGAGAAGCTTTAAATTTAAAATTATTTCATTATTTTTTATGTGGAGTTACAGACCTTTAAAAAAAAAACCAAGGATTTAGAATTATTTTGACAGCCTACACAGCCTAAAGTAAAAAGAAAATTAAGAAAATTTCTCAAGAAATCTGCTAAGAATTAGGTGGTCCATTCTGAGCATTTAGAACTACCCCCAGACACCCCAGATTTTCTCCCAGAATTACTTAACTGGAGTGATTACCTAACTGCTGAATAATTAACTGATAAATTCCAATTTAGGGGGGCCTAGGGTAGACGCACTGAGGATAGACTCGCTGTTGTTTCTTTAAAGAAAAAAAAAGCCATTTGCTGCTACATAACGGAATCATCAGAGCTCCCAAATAAGAAAAAGCTTCATGTAAAAATAAGTAGCAATTATTTGTAGCCAGTGTTCAAATTTGGACAATTTTAAAAATGAAGTATCAGTTTTCACTGAAAGGGACATTACATCTTTAAAGAAAACGCAAACCCTTCCCCCAAAACTGCTTCTTCTTTATGCAAGTCAAATATTTTTCTCCTTGCTCTAGATTGAAGCAAGCTCTTCATACCTTCCATGCCAATTCCTCAGCCCCCACCCGGCCCTCCCTTCCCCAAAGTTTATGTGCTACATAAAAAGTAAAAACTATATACACAGGTAGTACAATGAAGCAAATAAGGAAAAACCTAATTGCACAATGCTACATCCAACGCTTTTAGAGGCAGATCATTTAAGAGTGCCTAACATTTTAGTGTTATTGTGTTGTTGTTTTTCAGTGCTTATACAGGATGTCCATTCCATGGAGTCAGCGATATGTATTTAAAACTTTTCATTTGTATCTTCCTTGCTTCATCAAGCAGTGATGTATGGGATAAACAAGGAAATGTACCCAAGTCTGCAAAAGAAACAAAAAGCATTAAGAGAGAAGCACTAAAGTAACATTACCAATAAATTACAGGAATTACTTGGTCACTTAGTTGGGAAATTCCTGTGCAAAGGAAAAGGAAAGAATGTACTAAAAGTTGATCAGTGTAGTCATCTCCATCCAACATTTCCTGCTCTGGATTCTTACTCTCCTCTGTGTTGTGACAGTGGGCATTCTGGCCCCCCAGAGGACATTAGCAATGTCTGTCTGGTTGTCATACTGGGGGGTGGGGGTGGGGGTGCTATCGGTATCCAGTGGGAGAGGCCAGGGATGCTGCCAAACATTTTACAAGGCACAAAACAGCCTCTACAACAAAGAATTACTTGGCCCAAAATGTCAATAGTGAAGAGGTTGAGAGACCGTGGTGTAGAGAATCGGGGTCAAAGATGGTGAGAAAGAAGAGATAGGAAAATTAAGAGACTGTGACTGCACGAGTAATGACACGTTCAACTTTGAAAAATAATTTTAAGTAAAACTTATAAAGTCTCTCCCAAGAAAATTCCATTAACTTTCTTTCAAGTACTAGAGTCTTTCTTAGTCATACACAGAATACACACTTGAATGCTTCTGAAAAGGTTCTTACTACTATTTCTAGTATTCTCTGAATTGGCACTATTTACTAACAAATGCCTCTCTGTATGTCAGAATGGGGCCAGATCAAAATCCAGCAGGTCTGATTCACTGTTGCTCATGTGAAGAGCTCGGCCACAAGTCACAAAGCAACAAGAGCTGCAGGTGTTAAGGCTGCTTCAGAAAAAAATTTACATATTTTCCCACTTCACTTATAGCTGTAATATAGAGGTTCTATAGTGCCGTATTATATAAGCTCCAAAAAAATACCAGGTGTGAAGAAGTCACATATATGACATGATGATTTGAAAATAAAACTTGAATCCCACCTGAATCCCTGTTAACTTATTTTTAGTTTTTTTTAAATGAGGACTTAAATCAATATCTATTAAGACAGCTTCACATGCTAGGCTTTAAGTGTGATTTGGAAAAAAAGGGGTCACAGTCCTTATCTGTAAGAAGTTTACAAACTATTAATATATGTAGTTTGATCATTACAGATAGCCAATTCACATCAGGTTGGGGTTGAAATATTCAAATTAGCTATTCATGTTGATCAGATTTTTGCAGACGGAAAAATCTCCACTTTCCTTGTTTGGGGTAGACCTACCCTTGCCAGTCTTGCTATCTACTATTCATTTCCCCTAGAAATACCCAAATCATCCTGTTATAGCACAATTAGCATACTCATGCTGACGTGTTCCTGGATTGCTTACTCTGGCAGAGTTAATTCTGCTTTGTTAACTCCAGTGTTCAAATTTCTGTCAGAACCTTAGTATTTGTGAGCTTTCCACTTTGGTTATTTTAAATACATAGGTTCCTTTTCTGTTCTCAAAAGCTATCAGAAAATAAGGAAAGGGACAATTTATGAAAATGACAAAGAACACAACATACCTCTCTACTCATATTTCTAACCACTGGATTAACTGAATATGACCCAATTTTACCTAAAAATTTAAATTTAATCATTTATTTGCCATTCTTCCCCGATGGCTTAAAATCTGTTACTGACCCAACCTGAACCTCATGGGAAATAAATTCTCATGAAGTGGGACCCAGGCATATCCCAGTTCTTATTCAGATGAGGAAAGAACCTATTGTTCCCAACACATTTTGGTGGGACTCATAGGGAACTGACATTCCTACCCAAGGGGTCTTGATTACAAGTACTTGACTGAGACACTTGGCTCTAGGTGTTCCGTGTTTCAAGGAAAAACGGTCTCAGAAAGTAGAAACTGTTAAGAACTACCGTATCCTCAAAGTGATTTCCAGCCTTTCCCATCCATACTTTCTTAACCCCACAAAATATAAGCAAAACAAAACCCCACAAGCTTTAATCTGACAGCAACTGCTAAAATGGGATTATCTGGGGGTCTGAAAGCCCACGAGTTCCTGCAGCCCCATTCGGGTGTCAAGTTCTTCCTCCTAGTCCTCTACCCACCGAGTAGTTTACATTTGACGTCTTCGGAGGCCCGGCTTCTTGGGCGTCTGCTCCACTGCGCCCGCATTCGGGGAACCGTCTGAAACATTTTCTTCTGTTCTGTTGGCTCTTTTGTTTTGGGGAGAGGAATCTAAGGGCAAGGGGGAATTTTAAAAAGAACACACACAATCTTTATTAGAAAAAACAATGGCTGACAGAAGTTGGCACAATAGTCAGGGGATGAAAAACCCACCACCTCCACCCACAATCCCGTACCCGTCATTCCCAGTGGCCTTTAAGGGCACAAAAATGAGGTTGTTTTCCCATAACAGAAAGTGCATTCTACGCCCCAAAGCGCTCTCTCCACAGCGAAGAGGGAGGAGGCTGATAAACATCCCAACGCTGTCACACACCTACCGCCGGCCAGCGGGGAGACCTGCAAGGTTTTTTTCAGTTCGAGAAATTACCAGATAATACAGCCCCACGTTTCTGACTTAAAAATCATAAACAGACAAGTAGTCAGCCAGATAGCATTCAAAACCGAAGATGAGGAGAGTTCGCTCCCCAAAAGCGGAATCAGAATACGCTGAAAATAAGCTCTATTAAGACCCTCCAGCAGGCAAAGCGGTGGCCCAGGCAGTCAGGCAGACTTTCATTTCAGGGCTTGGAAAGGGTCCTTACCGTCCGCCGCGGGTCTCTTCCTCATCCCGGCGCACTGCTCCGCCAGCCCCGTCTGGTTGTCCGAGGTATCAGTCTTTGGGTCTACCAAATGGGAGTCCTCTGAGTTCGCCTGAGACCCAATTAAAGGCACCGTCGGGCGGTTCGCGCTGACATCCTGGCCTTCCTGCGCCGGCACCTTGCAGGCGCCTTTGGGGGGCCGCGGGGGTCTGTAGTAGAACTCGGGCAAGCTGCCCTTCTCCACCTCTTGCCACTCGTACTTGCCCTCCAGGGGCTTGTGATTCTGAAAATCAAAATTCCACTTGCGCTGGCTTGCCTCTTCCATGTCTCTGCAGTGCTTCTCCAAGTCCCGGGTCAACTCTTCGTGATTCACCGGGCCGAAGAGGTTTCTGCAGGCGGAGGGCTTGGGGTACTCCGCCTGTCTGGCGTCCATCCGCTCCAGGCTCGGGCTCCCGTTAGACACTCGCACGTTTGACATTTTCCTCCTGAGTCTTTACGACCGCCTCGCTCGCGCTCTCGGAAAACAAAACCGAACAAAACAAAACGCCCCGACCCAGCCCGAACCCCTCTTATAAGCCCTGCGACCGCGCCGGGAGCCAAGAGCAACAAACACCAGCAAGTGGCTGCCCGAGCGTCGGGGGCGCGCTGGCTCGGGGGAGGGGGCAGGGGGTGCCCGGGCCAGGCGGCCCAGAGTCCCCGCCGTTCAAGTGTGCGGGCGAGCGGGAGGGCGGGGAGGGCGGGGAGGGGCGGCCGGGCCAGTCCCAGTCCGGGCTGCCGCGAGCGCGGACCCCGCGAAGCGAGTGCCTCTCCAAACCTTGCCGGCGTCGAGTCGCGGAGCGGCGAGTGAGCAGGCAGAGAGGGGAGGGGGAGAAAACACCCCGAAAAGACGAGCCCCCTTTTTTTAGTTGCCCAATATGGCGGTGGAAGGGAGGCTGACGAAGAAGAAAATGATTGACACCCTAAGTCTATTTAAACAGAGGAGGAGATCCATTGGTCGCGGCGACGGGAGCCGCCCCGCCGAGGTTGGCGAGCGCGGCCTTAAGGTGGCCCAGGCGCGAGCGCGCCGACTCCGAGAGCGCCGCCCGGAGATTGGCTGGTCGCGTGATTGCTGGAGGTGCGCTGCTGCCAGCAAACCTGCTCCGGCTGGCCTCGGAGAAATTAAAAATAAGACAAACAAACTAGCCAAACGGCCGGGAGGCTGGGGAAGGAGGGGCCTGCGCGGTGGGGCGGCGGGGCGGCGGGGCCTTAGGATCTGGTCCCTGCGCGGCGCTGGCAGGCGGACGGCCGCTCCGGAGCCCCGCGCCCACTCCCTGCCGGGAAACCGAGGGGCTGGACCAGATGATAGCGAAGGCTGCGGGCAGCTCGTCATGCGCCTCGGCGGCGAGCTTGTTTTCCCGCACTCACCGCGCCGGGGGTCAGCCGCGGGGGGCCGGGAGACAGGTCGTGGGAGCTTTGCCTGCAGCTGGGCTCTCCACGCGGCCCCAACCTCCCGCACTGCGCGGACGCGGGTGACCCGCAGAGGGGCTGGGAGGCCGCCTGCCTGGGTTCCCTAGCTGGGGTTGAGCAGTGCTTCCCTTCGACCCAGCAGGCTTTGCTCCTCGAGGGGAGGCAGGGGCCTAGGGACGGAGCCAAGGAGAATGTCCTTCTATAAATTAGCCTGGAGTAGGCACAGCATTTATAATGTATGCGGAATCCAAGCTCTCCCTCAATAAAAGTTAAAACAGGACTTCAAGATCAAAAACTTGACCAGTCTCCCAAGTCCCTAATAAACTTTGTACCTGTCTCAGCCGCATTTCGTTTTCAAAAGCGAGGTTACACCCCTGGCCTAGGTTCTTGCTTCCCAAAGCCCAGTTAAGGCCACTGCCACGAGCTGCGTGTGGGAACTCTCTCCTCTTTCTCTTTCAGTGCTTTCCCGGGTTGTAGCAGTTTCCTCTACCTGAGTCCCGCCGCCAAATACAACAGCTTCTTCCTTCCTCCACTTTTCTCTCCCACTGGATTCGCTGCCCCAAACCACCCAGGACATTCTGATGCAAGTGAATGCTTTTAGAGGGCTGCAAGTCGTGGAAGGGTGAAAATAATCTGAAAGTCCAGAGTGTGAAGTGATTTATAAAGCCACCACAACCATGTCCTCATGTCTGATACTCTGCTCCCCTTTGCAGCTTGGAATTTACCTATTTTGTTCTTGAGCAGGGGTGGTGGAAGTTAAAATAGAATGGGCAGAGCTGTCATACCTGAGACAGAGCTGGAAGGGTCTTTAAGTGCCTCCCCACCTCACCCACATAAGTAAAATCTTGGTTTGGGCCAAAGTTAATGCAGTTTACTGGAAACTAATCCCCTTCAGTTCTAACAGTCCCCAGCAGAAATGTTTTCTTAGGCATCTCTGCTACAGATGAGTTTGATTTGTAACTTGTTTCCTTAACCACGTATTTTTTGTCCCCTTTGTGTGCCTGCCTCACCTCACACACTCCTGAATGCAGGAGTGGGGAGAGGCCTTGGGAACTCTGCGGTGCAACCCTCTCTTTTCACCACTAAGGAAATTGAGACTCAGGTTTCCTGTCCAGGGACACATACCCAATTGGTAGCGGAGCTAAGACTAGAGGCAGGTCTCTTAACTCTCGGGGTGCTTCATTTTCTCTTCCTTTCCTTCCGGATGGTCCCAGCTGGTTCAAGTTTTTGTCTGGATCCGCCTGTGCTATATAGTCTGCAGGTCCTCCTCACTCACAAGTGACGCAAAATGGCACCTTCTCATCCGCTGGGCTGCCTGCAGATGCTTCCTTGATGTGGCCTGTGGTCACTAATACTTAAATGCAGCTGTCACTGGGTGTTGATGTTACTGTGCACTAGTTCAACTAAAATGCAGATTCCAGAGGACAGAGGTGATCCAGAGAGCAGTGAGCGAGGCAGTGCCCCAAACTTTTTTGAAGTCAGGTTTTCCTAACTGACTGACAGGAAATATTTTACCTGGAATCAAAGAAAGAGGTGTCATCGTCTTAATTTTTCTACATTTAATGCTCCACTTAATTTACTCCATTAGAAAAGAAGGGAAGAGGAACAGAAAAATTAGAGTAGGCCCCAATTCCATAATTTATACCCTATTCCCAAAATTAGAACATTGTTGAAATTTCTACATAATTGCTAGGCTACACAGAAACTCTTATTATATGTAAACATAAATTCACATGCATAAATACAGAAACTACCACATATAAGTAAATGGAGATATTCTAGAGTATTACACCTTGCCACAAAAGTTTGGTTTAATTCATGGAATTAATATCTTACTCAAAAGTACAAGATTAACACTTCTATCCCCTCACCCCAACACACACACACACACACACACACACACACACACACACACACTGACATGTAGAAGCACCATTTTGTTAATCTTGAAAAGTAAACAAGTCAGTCATGCCACCTTAAGACGTCTGGCTGCCAGCAGAAAGGCTGTGCTTACACCGACCTTGCTATGATCTAAAGTGTTTTGTTTACAATCAAGGAACCGGAGATCTGGACAGCAAATAATGAAAAGGCCGACGCCTGTCGTAGTAGCGACCAAGCGTGAAAAAAATATTAGGGAGTCCAGAGGTAGGAGGGAATGTGGAGATCAGAGCGCCATCCTCCTGCGGAAAGTAGGCGGCTGCAAAATTGTAAGCCAGGGAGAAAAATTTCAGATAAACAGTATAAAGGCGGAGCGTGGGTGGAAGACAGAAGCCCTACTCGCGCTGCTCTAAAACAGGCTGTGCTTCCCCAAGACCCAGAATCTAGTCCTGGGTGATGTTTCCTTATCATTTTAACTCCTGGTAGTTTCCTACTTAGAGCTGAGGAGTGTCACATAAGCCACCCAAGATTTCTGTGTCCTGAGCAAGTTGAGACGCAAAGACCAAAGTAACTTAAAACACCTGCGTGGTAGACATGTGTCCACACGGGGGGTGGGGCGGACTCGCCTCCCAGATGCGGTCCTCCCTGGGGGAAGTTAGGCAGCCCAAACGTTTCTGCGAAGGTACTCGTTCCCTCGCCCAGCTGCCCCTCCCACCCCAAGTTCACAGTTTGAATCCTCTGAGGCATGAGGCAGCTTTCTCTCAATGTCACTGATCTCCTAAACCGACATAGTTACACAGTTTGGACATTTCCCAGTCATCTGCTTCTGACTTTTCATTCAATTTAACAAATATTTATGGAGCACCTTCTATTAATTTGTGTATTGCTTTTCTCAACAAATTTATTGGGTGCCTTTGATATGTCAGGCATTATCCTAGACTAGGGAATGCAGACATAAACAAATAGATTTCAACTAGGATGAAATTTATATTCTGGTAGGGGGAGTGGAGACAGAAAATAAACACAATAATACATGACTACAATGTATACTATGTGAGGAGGTGATACCTGCAGTGGAGAAATAAGCAGCAGGGGAGAGGAAAAGTGCTGGGAGGTCCTGATGTGAATAGAGTGGTCAGGGAAGGCCTCACTGAGAACCTGACCGTGGAGAGAAAGCCCTGAGGGTGTGAGAAAGCAAGCTGCGCAGGTCTCTGGGGACAGAGTGCCCCAGTAAAGGGAACAGCAAATGCAAAAGTTCTGAAGTGAGATCTTGTCTGATGTGCTCCAAAAACAGGAGCAACGGGAGAGTGGGAGCAGAACATCAGATTCTACCAGACCATGCAGGCCTAGGTAGGGATTTTCTCACTGAGTGATTTAGGGAGCCACTGGGACGTTAGGGGTTTTTAAGCAGTGGAATGATGTGATCTTACCAAGTATAAGGTATTCCCCGTGGCCATGTTCTTGTCATTCTCAGCAGTGTGGGGAGCAGCAGGATGACTAAGTCACAGTCCCTGGCTTTAGGGAGTATGCGCCCTAGGTGGGGAGACCACGGTGTGCACAACCTACAGAGGTAGGAGCGATTCATGGATGAACACGGTACAAAGGTGCAGTACAAAGGAGGGAGAAAGAGGACGCCTTCGAGGAGGTGATAAATGAGTCAGATCTTGAAGGAGAAAAATGTCAAGAGTATAAGGATATATTGGCAGGGGTGGTAATTGGGGGATGGGAGCAGACAGTGGCAGGCCATGGACGGCATGCTAAAAAAAAAATCTGTTTTGTTCAGTAAACAATGGGAACTTGATAGAACTTTTGGTGAAGAGAGTAACATCCTTCACTGTCCCAACTTGTCTCCTGAATAAGAGCAAGCCTGGGCCCTGGGAGACAATGTCTAGGGACAGAGCTACATGAAAAGCTGAGTAGATAGTCCAGTTATGGTGTTAATCCAGAGGGAGCTGGGTTTTGGGCAGAGTACAGGTGTGAGGCAAGAGGGCAGAAGCACAGGCCACGAGACCAGGAGAAGAGGCTTCGGAGCAGAGAGTGGGAGGCAGCTCTGGCCAGTCTCCTGCGCTACAAAAGGCAGAGCTGCAGGCACTTTCTTTGTGTACAGAGCTTAGAGGCCGCTGAGTGGAGAGGTAACTGCTGAGGGGCCCAAGCTGTCCTGGGCAATCAGATCTCTGTGTTTGGAAGTGGCGTCTGACAGCAGAGTAAAGGATGGTGTGATGAGCCTGGAGAGACTGACACGGGGAGGCAATTTTGAAGGCTGATTGCAGTTGCTTATGCAAGAGACACAATGGCCTTAAGCAGTGCTATGGAGGAAGGAATGGAAAGCATGTAATGAATGTTGCTTAGGTAAGTAGAACAGATACAGAGACTGGGTTGAGATGGAGAAATGGAGATGACTTTTAAGGACTCAAGCTTGGGTATTAGAGGGGAAAATGCCATTAACTAAGAGAGGTTAACACAGAAAAGATGAAACAGACTTCTAGCTGTCTACCAAAATCCATTCCCACCTTCTTACTTAGTATCAGAATTATAACTGGGTATATAGCTGCCTAGCTACA